CATCTTCCAAGTTTAAAAATGCAATGGAAGTGCTTAATACACAAAACATTTGAAAATAAATATGACAAAGCAAAGACATGCGAGACAATTTTGAAGGCAGTACTAGTAAACAGCTCCCAACCCAGCACCAAAGCAGCTTACTTTCACAGCTGGTAGCATAATATAGCAAGTGTTACAGCAACAGCTATACAGTCTGTATTAATTTCATTAGTCTTCAGTGAATAAGCACCTACTGAATTCACTAAATATCATTGATAAATTGCAAAGAAAGCTTTTCAAACTTTCCTAAAATGAAAAGCAGTTATAAAAAAAAAAAAAGTAGGAACTGTTAAATAATTTTTGTCCGTATTTTTCGTTTGCTGAATTTTTTCTTCCTGATTCAGACATTACCATAATACACAATATAGCAGGCTGTATATGACATCTCATGTTCATTATACAACTGATATCAAATAATAACAAAAAGGCCATCACCTCCAGGAAACGCTGAGGATCACACTCATGGACAAGCTTTTCACAATCCTTCAAAAAATTCTCAATGGTCTTCTTGTGAGTTTCCTTCATTTTCTTCCAAATCTGAAATTCTTTCTCTTTTTTACTTCTTTGATTTTCAACATCTTCTAGCAATTGCCGTTTCTTCATTTCCAGAGTTTTGAAAATTTCTCCAAATTCCAGTGCAATTATCTCTGCATCGTTGTTCAGCACCATCTAGAAGTATGAGAACATAAAAAGATGAAAATGCAGTAGCAACGTCTACATAGAGTCACTTCTCTAAGTAAGCTCAGAGTACATCTGGGCCACAAGAAGCACCAGTATGCTCCATGTTGTGATTAACCTATCGTAAGAAGAGAAAAAAAGACATATATATATATACACATAAAAAATATCCAGCTTCTGTAACTCACATCCGTATCATTCGGTTGACTTGAGATTTCGTTCACCAGCTTCTCATTTATTATTCTCAGTTTTTTCAGACTGCTGAAGAAGGTTAACTGCAAGACAATTGAAACACCTGTTACGACTTCATCCCTTCCATAAAATAAATACATTTCAGTGGTTATCTAGAATCACATTATGGGATGTTCTGTACAACATATTAAACAAAGGTGGTGATTCAAAACATCCCTTAATAACACTGAATGCTTTTCTGGATCAGTACACAAACTTTCTTTTGCCATTTCTCTCAAAGTCATGTTTTTAGGCTCACCTATAATGCATATTGCTAGAATGGATACAGCATTACTTTATAGTTAAAACAGTGTTTCCCTCAGCCTTTTTTTTAACCTCTCCCCTCACACACACACCCCTATCACTATGTAAATTGTAATGCTGTTATTCCAGTTTGACAAGCAACTCTGTGATACTTTTTTTTTTTTTTTATGTCTCACACTGATAAAATACAAAGCAGTCCATAACTGAGATATTTCTGTTTGGTTTTAAATGAAGATTGTCACCATTTTTTCCTCCTTTACCTCACTACATTATCACTGAGTTTTACACAGAAAATCTACTGCAAAGACTGTTTTCCCCTGGTTTCCTGATGGACACACAATTGGTGATGGAAGAGGCAGGAGGGAAATCAGTGCAAAAGCAACTTTTGGCTTAAAGAATAATCAGTACTTAAACTTTATACCTATACTCTTCATCGCTGCCCTGCAGTTGTTTCAGTAACTGCACAGCAGAAATGCCGTATGATGTGCCATCCTGCACCCAATTCGCATAGGGCATGAAAAGCTCATTCTACCCAAATGGTAGCTATTCTAGCAAACCCCACATCTATTACCACTACAACCAGCCAACCATTAGGCCAGGCAGTTGCTTTCTTCATGCAAACAGGAACGCATTTTGGGTTTGAATTTATTAAATTAATACTTGCCTAAACCATCTATTTCTAAATGTGTAATTATCTATGACCCAAATTACCTATGCCAGCTCAGAGAGACTATCTATGGGTGGTTTGGGTTTTTTTGTCAGTAGGACCAGCATCTTCCTGAACTCGGAAAAACTGGATCCAGACATGCAATAAACTCTTAGCGTCAGTGTGTTTTTTCAGCAAAGAGTGCAAGTCTATCAAAAAAAAACCCTTCAACCAAAACCCAACTCTTTAGGTGCTTTGGTAAGTTGGGTTGAGATCTGTTGATACTGTAATATCGCCTGGTCCCCTGTATGTGGTGGATGAAGTCCGACGGCAGCAGGGGAAGGCACAGCCCGGTATTCCACAAATCCTGACTCCCAGTCAAAGCAGCATACTCCCCCGTTGCCTCTCGCCTGTCCACCACACTGTGTTTTTCTCCTGTATTTCCCAGTAAAAGCAACCCGGGGCCGGCGGGATCCCCTGCGGGACAGCCCGACCTCCCAGCCAGAACCCTGGCGCTTACTTTTTCCTCCTGGTACACAGTGTCTATGAGGTTGACAGAGTGGAAGATGCCTTGGTGCTCCTCAGAGACGCACTGCCCGCATCCTGCCTGGCGGCACATCCGGCAGTAGAGCTGCACCAGCCGGCTCGGGTGCTTCTGACAGCTTCCCCCGAGGGCCAGAGGGGAGAGCAGGCCAGGACCCTGCCCCTGCCCCTGCT